CTGAAGATCAGCTGGGCCCAAATGAATAAACATTACAGGGCAAAGACAATTAGTCTAATGAATCCTTCTGAATAAATTCCAATTATATCAGATTGTGAATATGCTTAGCTATAAAACCTCATGTATTTTTAAAATTACAATTATACCTATTGATGTGGCAATTAAACATGTTAGATTGAGGCATTGTTTATCATTAGAAATGACAGAAATAAAGACACAAAAAGAAAATGGGGCAATCAAATTCAGAGCAACCGCACATACAAAAGAAACAGCAGCTAAGGACAAATGCTCTGAATTTCACGTTGAACATTTTCTTTCTTTTAAAGGTGGGAGGCAAAATCCCAAATACTGAATGGACAGACTTCAGATGACAAGAATAATTCAGAAGAAGATGCAGAAAGAATCAATTTGGCTGAAACTTAAAAACGGTTTCAAGATAACTGTCTAGGCAGATGTTTAACCACTATATTTTCCAACAATTTCTTCTGACTAACATATTATCCAGTTAGGATAAACTTATTAACTGAACATTAAACGGAATGCAATTTGGATTCCTTAGTTTATACTTAGTGCTCTCATAAGTATATGCCACCAAGAAGCAGAAAAGAGAAGACAAGGCCATTAACAAAATCCCTTTGTGGATCTTAGTTAAAAGCTGCCCTTCAGAATTCTATTGAAAACAATATCCAGTCTTCATTATTGCAAAGAAAAATAGGGAATCTATCACACCATTTAGCTTACATGGGGGAATAGCTATTATCATACATCTTAATATGTCTTACCATGACATCAGTTTTATATCCTTTCCCTTCCTTCCTTCCTTCCTTCCTTCCTTCCTTCCTTCCTTCCTTCCTTCCTTCCTTCCTTCCTTCCTTCCTTCCTTCCTTCCTTCCTTCCTTCCTTCCTTCCTTCCTTCCTGATCATCTTTCCTTCCTTCCTTCCTTCCTTCCTTCCTTCCTTCCTTCCTTCCTTCCTTCCTTCCTTCCTTCCTGATCATCTCTCTCTCTCTCTCTCTCTCTCTCTCTCTCCCCTCTCTCTCCCCCTCCCTCCCTCCCTCCCCCCCTCCCTCTCTTTCTTTCTTTTGGAGAAATCCAGTGATGTATATGCAGGCAAAAAGAGATGGAAAAATTACATTTTTGCTGATAGTTTTCATTGTCAAGTACAAAGTAAAACAAAGTTACTATTAAAATAAATACTGACAATAGGGATTTCTTGTTTTAATTTATTTCTGTTTTCTAAATAAAGATTCAAGGGCCCATTGTTTATATTTAATCTTGTGCATGAAAAAGAAGCAAAAATTGCAAACCATAGGGGCTCTAGTGCAAAAAATCAGATATGAATTTCCAATATCAGATTAGGATCTTTAGCTAGATACTCCTCTTACTTTCTATCTGCCTCCTTTCATTGCTAGGTAGGATATATTTTTGCCTAATGCCCTGTTCTTTTCCGACAGCTAGCACAATAAATTAATGAGACAATTTACAGAAGCAACTACTACAAAATGAGCCACTTGGATGCCTGGACAAACTTTCCAACATCCCACTTAGGAAGTATCCATTTAAGAAAAGTAAAAAACCCAAATCATATACCTTCATAACCTCTAAGAGTAACTGTGTAAAATAAAATGCTTTATTTTATTTTACCATTCCTTTCCTGTTCAGGATGGCTTAAGTAGCAGATGAAGTGAGGGTGGATAGTACAATTTCCCTGCTACTATCCACCGCCTAAAACAGTGTTTCTCAACCTTGGCAACTTTTAAGACATGTGGTCTTCAACTTCCAGCCAGCATGCTAAGGTTGAGAACATTGATCTAGAGCAGCGGTTCTCCACCTGTGAGTCGCGACCCCATTTGGGGTCTAACGACCATTTCACGGGAGTCGCCAAACAACGCAGTCCGCCATTTTTTCTCCTTTTCCTTAGCTGTGCTACTCCCTTTTATTCTATTGGCTTTTGAAAGCCAATAGAATAGACTCTCTTGAATAGAGTCTAATTCTATTGGCTTTCAAAAGCCAATAGGAATTGTCCAGGCTGTCTCTGCCCTGCTGAGCCCGCCAAAAGTCCCATTCTGCAAACGGTGCTGCAAGTTGTCTGCAGCGAAGGCGAGCTGTCTGGAAGTTTCCACCCCTCCCTGCTGAGCAACTACTAAAAATGTAAGTAAAAGAGGGCCAGGGGTGGGAGGTGGGAGGCCGGCGGGTGCAGGGAGGGTTGCTGGCGCATGTGGGGCCCGGCGGGTGCCTTACCTCCTTTGGGCTGGGCCAGCTGGTGGCCCAGCCGGTGGTTGGCCTTCTCCGTCTCTGCCGCTTGCCAGCTATGCCTCGGCCGGCGCAGGGGGCAGCACCACGCATGCGCGGCGCTCCTGGGCAGGGAAAGTCCTCGTACGACCAGTTGGGTAGTCCTTGACTTACGACCGGTTGGGTAGTCCTTGACTTACGACCGATTGGGGGTCGCGGCATTAAAAAGGTTGAGAACCACTGATCTAGAGGGCCATCCACTGCCATTATTACATCATCGCTTCGACTAGTTCTATCTGTTACCCTCTTCTCACCCAGAGAATATTGGATGGGGCCAACAGGTTTCCTCATAGCATCTGCCTCATGCTTCACTCTGAAGGGGGCCTTGTCAATCAAGCAATCTTACATCCATTCATATAACTTTGCTGTAACAGTGGTAAATACCACTAAAAGTCGTTTCAAACCTATTTTGCTATATCATAACAAAACAACAGAGAAAAACATCACTGGGTGGACATGAAGGTGGGATGAAAAGGGAGGCAAATCTTCTCATCACGTAATGGGCCTGCTTAGCTGAAGAGCCATGAATAATTCTGCATGTACTAATATTGCGCTCGAAGTACACAATAATTTTTCTCCTTATAATTTTCTCTTTAATGGTGGTCCTGTGAGCTACTGCGAATAAAATAATCTATACTGCAGATTCCCCCCCCCCCCCGATTTCTAACTTGTATCAAAATCATCTTTGAATCAAGGGTAATTCCTCAAATCTTTGGGGATATATATATCAGAAAATAAAGCTGTAATACAAAGCAGAAAATTGCCACTCTGCTTACTCAGCTACGCTGCTAAATTACTTCTAACAATCTAATCTTATCCATGTATGTTTAAAGGTTTTATCTATATGTATACACACACATGCTTGAGTTTACTGCCAAAAACCTCGGAATATGGAATTACAACCCAACTGTAATCAGTTCAATATTTTTAAAAAGCATGTTTAACAGATTATCATAATATCTGATATGTTTGTGGAACATTTTGTGTTACTATATAGATTCTGATCATTTTGTCTTACTGGTTTACTCTTGCAAGCAACCCTTATTTAATAATGCTGCAAAGGGATCTTCAGATGCTCTTATTGGAACAAAAGCCACCAGTAAAGATAGTCTATAAGATGTTTGATGTACTTTGATTGTAGCACAGGGGATTTCTTTGCTTTTAGTGCAGGGGAATTATTTCAAATTTGTGGAAACTCAGTTTTCAAATTCCGGTATTAAAGAAAAACAAAAACAATACTGAAATGGGAAGATAGCAACACATGCCATTGAAGGCTGGGTACAATCTTACTTTTCCAAAATATGTTAATTCCTACATTTAGCAGGATTCAAAGTGATGCAGAATCTATTTATGCTGACAATACAGATGACTACTCAAAAGACCAGATTCTTAAAAAATCATTTGCGTTCATCTGTATCATACAAATTAAGTGTCCTTTAGATTAGTCAGCAGAAGTGGTATTTAGAAATTGCTAGTGATATTCAGAAATGCAAAATGACTTGGCTTTGTAAAAGTTTCACTGCAGAAGTAAAATTTCCATATTATTAAACATGTCACCTTGATCTGCTTCACAGCATTTTAATGCAAAGCCCCTTCAGTGCAAAATTGAATAAGAGCTTGTCCTTATGAGTGTTTCATGGGTACAGTAGAGAGAAGAACAATATGCAGAAACAGAGAAGAAGTATGTTAAGTTCCTCCTCACTATAATTTAACAAAAGACAGAGGATTCATCTTTACAACAAAGAAAAAAGCCCACAAGAAGTTTCAGTTTAATCTTGCACTTCAATCAAAGATGGGGCTAATAGACTGTGAGGATCTGGCTTCCTTTTTCTTTGGTCCTACCTTCTGTGGAAGAAGAAATTTGCTTTTTCCAACCAGTTCCACTCTACTACTAATTGAGATAAGAACTAAAGGTTGTCTGGAAGCTAAGAGATTATGGATTAATGTACAAACAAGATAGACAAACTCACATTAACTGGAATGGAATGTTGGATGGTTCGAGGGAAAAGGGGAACAGCCGTTTAAACATAATCAGCAAAATCTATTGCCAAACTAAACAATATAGCAATGCAAACATTGTTCTTTCTACATGCCTAAGAAATAGAATAAGTGGTCCTACATACACAATTAAGGGAACAGAGGGGAGAAGAGAAATATAGTGTTGAACCCCACTGCTTGTTGGTCTGATGCTGGCCAACTGTTGCTGTAGTCACTTTTTTATATTCTTGGGTCATTTCTGGTATTAGAGCCAAGAAATTAAAAATGACTACAGGATAGAAATGAGGATGCAGGAAGAAAAAAATTATCCCTTTTCCTTTGCTTTGGTTACCTTGGTCACATTCGTGTTTGTATTGGAAGCACCAATGAGCTTCCGAATTGAAAGGATTAACTGGTGTCATCACCGTTGCCTGGGAGATTCCTGATTGGGGGCCCCTGTCATATCCCCATTAATGTGTCACTGAAGTTGTACCTATTTATCTAGTTGTGTTTCCACACTTATAAACTGTTAGGTTGGCAAGAGATGGAGTGAATGTGATTGTCAACTCAGCATCCTAACCACGTGAGGCACCGCACTCCTTGGATACTATGGTTAACTGCACCCAGATTTCTAGAGATATATACATGCATACAAAATATATACTGTATATATAATTTCCACTTTATAAGTACATACAATGTTTTCAGAAAACTCAGAGTTTGAAAACTTGCCTGTTGCCAACTATGGGGTCTCTTACATTACTTGAATAATCCATGCCATAAAAATTCAGCCCCAAAAGGATTTTTTTTCTCCATTTGGATTCTGGATCCAGCATCTGAATACAAGCTTGCACCCAAGGCAATGGGGCATTGGGGCCAGACCTGTAGAAAGAGGAAGAAAGAAATTAAGGTTCAAATTGTAAGATTCCCCCCCAAATGTAGAACTATGTTTAACAAGATTCTAGTCCAAAATCAGTATTTTCCACTGCAAAAAAAAGCACTGTTAGAAGTAGAAAAATACAGATTTTTTTTTTAAAAAATGTGTACCACAGTATCCATCCATCCTATTTATTTTTGTCCTAGTTTCTACCATTTCGGTAACTGCCTTTTTATTATTGTTTTTAGTTTACTTTGTTTTACAATATGCCCCATTTGGGGCATTTTTCCCAAGAGGATATACATTTTACTATGAAGAAAACTGCTCTGAAAAAAAGAGTAGTTTTATGGGAAAATTCTTAAAACGTACTATTCACAATCTCTCCCTCTACAGTTCTAAAATATTAGATTCACATATATGTAAATGTGGCTATAACAATCTCCATCTGTAAAGGGTTTTTGAAATATTCATCTGTGCACTGGACTTTTCCACTGTAGATGCTTCAGGCATTTTGGATAAAATTCTTTTTGAAATGGCTGTTGCTTCATGTTCTACAATCTGCTTCTGCTATTACATTTTCGTGTCTCTTAATATGTCGACCACTGGCTAGAGACAGCAGTTATGTTAAAAGTATATTTTATCAACATGGAATTTGTATTTCCCTGGACCATCTGCAGAATGATTTCTTTTATCCTACGTGTATACTTAGCTGACAGTTAAAATAACAAGCTAAACATTTTAAGACATGGTTTGATAAAATAAAAAGATGTATCTATCAGAATTGCTTCAAAGCAGAGATGAAAGAAAACCTAAAAGAACTGCTTTCTTCTTTCATTTTCTACAAGCAGTATATGAACATATATTTTTAGCAATCTGCCTACCAGAGTGAAATCGATAATATAAAGTTAGACATATACAAGCCAAAAGGAATTATAATACATTTATTATACATTCTCTAATGCATGTTTTCATTGTTTCAACTGAGCTGTATATTTGAATGTATATTTGAATATTTACAGTATATTATCTGTATTATTATTGAGTACTTATTATTATCTCTATTCTGCCTTCCTGCTGCCAATCTCCACAGAAGAAGTTTATTATATAGAGATAGGAATGAGAAGAAAATGTGTCTAGCAAATTAATTGGGCCAAAATCCTAAGTGTATTTGGAAAAAAGAGCTATCGAACCAAACTGACAACAAAGTAAACATGCAAGAAAGTAGTTTGTGTGAAGAAAAAAAAGTGCATATTTACACTCAAGTATAGGATCAAATAATTTTACAAATGACAAATAAATTTAATTGTCAGTGATTAATTCAGTTCATATTGATTAAGCTTTTGGTCACATTTCCTCCCTTTGTTGGAGGGAAAAGATTAAAAAACATGCAAATATAAATATATTTAGGAGCAGTGTGATACATATGTGATACACTAGTATAAAGGGCTGCCTCTAAGAAACCTAAAATTGTTGAGATACAAACATTTTAAGAGAATGTCATTAGAATTATACTCAATTAGTTATATTATTACTATTAAGAAACTAGGATGAATGTGATCTCCGGCTGAACACCAGCTCAATTCTTAGTGTCATTATACCTGTGCATTTTGCCTTACCCCAATTGTGATGAATAATCGTATGTCATGAGGCTGAAACTGTCCACCACTGGGGCCAGCCGATCAAATTCTTTCTTGGTAAACATTCCCAACTCACTGGTTCTTTCAAAGAAAAAAAGACAAGAAAATTGGAAAGCTTATTCATTTATAGATTAATATTCTACAAAAATCAAGTACAAGGCTCTGTCCTAAAGAGTTTAAGTCTAAATAGAAGTGAAAACAAGAGAGGGAAGAATGGAATAGAGGCAGGATTAATCCCGTTTCTTCAATTGCATTGAGTTATGTGCAGGAAATGATGTTAAAGGGGGATTTTCAGAAAGCGTTTGAAATGTTTGTTAACCCCATTATGGCGGCTCACAGACAAGAAACTGATTACATCACAGATTCAGAACAGATTATTTTTTGCAATGAGCAAAGGGTTAAGCCACAGAATCTTGGTTCTGCATATTTTGTTTGTCATTCTTCACTGACCTCCCTATAGTTTTTGACCTTTTTTACTTACAGATTTTCTCATAGTTTTAATCAAAAGGATGGCTATTTAATACAGATAGTCTTCGATTTAAAATCATAATTGAGTCTGGAATTATGGTTGTAAGACATAATGGTCATCAAGTGGTCATCATGTGAGAGACCTGATTTTACACCTTTTTTGCAGCATCATTAATAGCAAATCTGTGCTATTCAGTGAACGCCTCAAGCGGCGTTTTTTTTTTGCTCTTAAACTCCAATTTCTGGCAAAAATGGACATAAATTGTAGTCATGTGATCGTGGGATGCTGCAAACAGCTGTAGATATGGGCTGATTGCTAAGTGTTCAAAATGGGATCATGAGACCTGTGGGGACACAGCTCCCAGAACTTTGAATATGGGTTGTGAGTGCCTTTTGGGGGTTTGTCGTAACTTTGAACAGTCACTAAGCAACTGGTCGTAAGTTGAGGACTACCTGTGCCACAAAAATGTCTACCTTGTATCACAATCATTTGGAAAAGTCTATGTTCAATCCCAGGATGAGATAATTCCATTACATGGTTTTTTTCCCATTAATTCTTCATATGGGCTTTGTTTACAAGAACAAGTCTTTTCCTGTGATGTTGACCCTAGAAAACACTTGACCTGTAATTCCTCAAATACCTGGCTTCTAGTTACCTTGAATAGGAAGAATATTGGAACTTTACTCAGAGGAAAAACAGATTTGCAAATCAGTACTGTGTATTGTTATGTGAACTTTTCAAGGTTTCTTCAAAATAATCTAGCTAAGCAAACTTCTGGTAAGATGGTGATAAGGGAGGCTGTATTTTTTATGAGATAGATAAAACTGCCTTGCTTGCTTTTTATTTTTATCCTAGATTTTAAGTACAGTTCAGCCTGCAGCTTTGCTTATGCTTTAGAAACATCCCTCTTCCTGTTGTTCCTACTGATTTGCATTTTCTTTTCCATCGCAGCCCCTTCAATGAGGCAAGTGGGAGTTATGCAACATAAAACTGTTTTAATAGTGCTAGAGAAAGTTGCCAAAAGCCAATCTGCAGTGAAGCCTTTAGAAGCAGTATCCTTATGTAATCCCTACAAATGATAAATTAGGAAGGGAAGAAGTAGCAATAAGCTAGCAAAAAAAACCAAAAAAACTTTGTTCTTCCTGATTCCACCCTTAAAGATGAGTAAAGAGTGTCTCATTCCAACTTGGAATGGTTTTTAATGAAATATCTTCCTCTACATGTAGGCCTTCTTGCTTCTATTTGTTGCTTTCCAGTTTTTTATGTACCAATAAAGGAGAATATTTTTAGTTTAGGGTTGAAATGAGGGATCCTTGGTGCTCTGTTTTCTTGCAGACATTTCATTACCCAAACTACATAACAACATCAGTGCTTGTAAGTCCTTAGTAAGCCCTTACTAGCATTGATGCTGTTATCTAGTTTGGATAATGAAATGTTTGCAAGTAAACAACCAAGCTCAGAGAGCACCAAGGATCCCTCAGTTTTTTATATCTCACCCTGAAGATCCTACAGAGAGGTCTTTACCATGGGACATTGTGATAGATTAAGTCCTTGAAGGCACTGAACAAAAGGATACTCCTTGCAACCAACCAACCAACCAACCAACCAATCAATCAATAGCAGGATAAATCAACTAAGTATTACAGGCATCTTCCCTACTTCTGGAGTATCTGTTATTAAGTGTAAAATTGCTTAGAGCAGTGTTTCTCAACCGTGGCAACTTGAAGATGTCTGGACTTCTAGAATTCTCAAGTCAGCCTTGGTAGATCGGAAATTCTGGGAATTGAAGTCCATACATCTTCAAGTTACCAAGGTTGAGAAACACTGCCTTAGAATCAACCCCAAATGATCACTCAATATGACTATTTTGCCTTACTCCAGGATGCAACAAAACAATAAACAATATAGCATATGAGATTACATAACCTAAAAAGGTAGTTATCTGGCTAGCCACTCTAAATTTCTCCCCAGAGGCAAGATGAAGTAGCAAGAGAGGAACACAATGAAGAGAACAAGATTTCAGAATCTGCTACTGATCCTCATCTCGATGAACAACACACACATACACACACACACACACACACACACACACACACAAATATGCCTCTTGCTGATCTCTCATATGTAGGGAGCCAACAGGTAAATGTTAACAAACCTATTCAGGTATGGAAACTAGAAAACCCAGTGATAAAGTCCTTTTGGACAGAATATAATTGTTAACAATTATAGCCGAAAATGTTTATTAAAATGCTGAGTTCATTGGCCAGATAGGCAAAAGTGGAGCAAGGATAGCAGCTGAAGGCAATTAGCCCAATCTTACTATGAACTCCAAGGCCTACTTTAGTGTAGTGGTTAAAGCATGTGGTTGGAAATTGGGAGACTGTGAGTTCTAGGCCTACCTTAAGCACGAAGCCAATTGGGTGACCTTGGACCAGAGATTTTGTCTCAGATGCACTTCCGAAATGTTGCCAAGAAAACTACAGGGACATCTTCAGGCAACTGCCAGGAGTCAAACATAATTATTAAGTACACTATTAAGTACGTAATGAATGGTGAGGGAGATGACCAATCAAAAAGGACAGGGCACAGGAAAACTCATAAAGAAACTCATAGGAACCTCCTAATACTAAAAAGAAAAAAATATTAAGAATTCTGAATATCTCAAGGCAGAGGGAAAGAGAAACCTGAAAAAAGTGACAAATATTCTTGACAGAGACCGTGAGCCTGAAAAATATAAGGACAATTCTGAGAATAAGGATGCCAGAAGGCCAACAATCTATCATAAAGGTCATGGTCTGATCCAGAGTTCAAAGATTGATTTAAGAGAGAGAGACATGAAATCTGTAGTGCATTTGATTAGCCACACCAGTTTGAGAAAGCAGTCTTTAAACAACAAACGGAAAAAAACCTAAAAGATTTATTACAAAGCCCTGACCTGTCTCTTGCGAATTACACTGTTTTCTTCCCCTTTGGCACCCACAACTAATCACAAATAAGCTAGTGTTCTTTAATTATCCAGAACCAAACTACTATCTAATTCAATTTGACTCCAAGGCCCATTTCCTCCATTTATTCTTTGTTCTCATTGTCTATCCGCTTTAAGGACATTGGAAAGGTTGATTATTTAGCTTTTGAACATAATTTAAACCAAACAATAGTATCACTTTCTTCACACAAAAATACTAAGGAGATTTTTAGAATGAAGGCTATATTTACTTATTCAAATATCTTACAATCTAGAGTATTTCCTCAAAGAACTTCTGTTTACTCACACACCCTTCAAATCTAATGTTTTGTGTAATGGAGAGTCAAAGCAAGTGAGGGCATTGAATATTTTGTTTAAGCAAAAGCAAGCCACAGTTCTTGCAAGGTTGGGGATTTCTTTGTATAACGGTCCTTCTGATAACCGAACAAAATGCATTGAAAAGCAATGTTGAAAATCTGACTATTGTAACAGGCAGAAACTGTACCTCAACAGCCATTTTCTTATCACCTTAGGCTCTGCCCATTTCCTGAAAGAAACTGGATGGAATATAGATTTTTAGACTCTCCAGAATCTGGCCTATGTCCCTCTTCCTCTGCCATAAAGAAGAGGGAATTAATCTATTTTCCAAAGCACCTGAAGGCAGGACAAGAAGCAACGGGTGGAAACTAATCAAGGAGAGAAGCAACCTAGAACTAAGGAGAAACTTCCTGACAGTGAGAACAATTAATCAGTGGAACAGCTTGCCTCCAGAAGCAGTAAATGCTCCAACACTGGAAGTTTTTAAGAAGAGACTGGACAGCCATTTGTCCGAAATGGTGTAGGGTTTCCTGCCCGAGCAGGGGGTTGGACTAGATGACCTCCAAGGTCCCTTCCAACTTTACTACTATTATTATTATTATCTTACTTCTCAGAGTATTTCTACAAAAACCACTCGTCACTAGTTCCCATAATATTTGCATGAAAGTGGGGAGATAGACAGACAGACAGACAGACAGACAGACAGACAGATAGATATGCAAAAAATCATTCACCTGCTTAATGGATTACTCTGATACAATTTTTCTATGTCAACTCATTGGGCTAAAATAGGATACACAATGATGTTGAACTGTAAATATGTCTGAATGACATTTTTCAATTGAGGTCGGTATGTTCTATCCATGAAGAATAAGATGCCAACAAAAATATTTTTATTTCTGATCAAGTTTAATATTCCAACATTTGTTCCAAAAGTCAGTTGTTTAAAGTGGAGGATTAAGGGATGACCCTTTCCTACTACAATTCATCCATAAATTAGAAGCAATCTTTAACTGAACGATCTGCTTGCATCCATCCATCCCCACAATTGTTCTTTGGCATTTATCACAATTTGAATTGCAAAAACTGTATCAAAGGAAGAGTGACAGTTATAGTACATGCATCTAAATTCCTAGAAGAAAATCAGATTTATTTTTCCAATCTTAACAGCATGTACCGACTATAAATATATTGTCATTACTTTAGAGTGGAGGATGAAAAGAATATACTTTCCATTAATCATACCTTTGTGTATTATATTATTTTACACAAATTAAAGAATAATGGCACACTTGTATCATTGTGGTGTAACTCTCCTCAGCCAAGCAA